AATTTAAGATTTTATTTAAAAGAATTGAATTCTTTTTATTTAAATTAATAAATCATTAATGAACTCCAATAAAGTGATTTAATGGATAAGAACTTGAGATTTGAAGTTGAAAATCTCAAATTTGAATATTGAGTTCAATGAAGAGGAATTTAAGGAAAAGAAAGAACTATCTTTCTTGTATAATCCACTCAGATGTATAAAAAATAATAATAAATCATTAATTTATTGTTTATAGTAATTATTGTTCACAATTTAGACATTTTAATTCGTCTACTTAGAGTCACATCAACTTGTAACTTTTTTTGGAAAAATAAACTAAATAAAGCCTATATATAAATAAAATAACAAAAAAAAAAGAGGAAATAATAAGAGAAACTAGTATTTTTACCGTAGATTTGTATGGCTAGATTCAGATGCTTATCTAGAATATGCAGGGCTAGCTTTTCTTTTCTTTTCTTTTCTTTTCTTCCTTATATATATCGAAGTTTGATGTGCTCTAACAAATGAAAATCACATTCCAACCTTACTAGAATATACTAAAAAAAAAAGGTTAAGAGCTTGGCTTTGAAGGTCACCAATCATCCTATCCTCACCTCACTCCACCGCTCTGATGCCAACTCTTCACTCTCCTGTCTCCGGCCCACCTACTTGTGGGTCCCGTAGTCAATCCTCCCATAACAAGTCCACGTGGAAGCCGACGGACTGAATGAGCCGGTTATAATTAAATTTGTGAACATGATCGAGAATGCATGTGGATTGTGGAGTGCGGTATCATTTTCCAAGAAAGATTATCCCTAGCAAGTAGTAGTAAACTCCTATGGTTGCATTAAAATAAGTAATTAAGTATTAGCACTTTCATTTGCTTTTAAATTTTAAATGTTAAATAATATAAATTATTTTAAATTATAAAATATAAATTATTAAACAAAGATAATTCTTTAATATTAAAAATTATTATTCATTTAAAAGTATCTAATCTATAATTTGAAGCAATTTAAATTACAAATAAAAATTTTTTTTTCTTTTTATTTATACTTGCACTCAGATTGTTTGTATGGATATAAGTCCCTAACTTTCTATATAAAGTATCCAAAGTATCCTCTAATTTTGTAGGTATCATATTATTTTATATTAATAAAAATATAATGTGACCCACGAGTGGATGGATGAGTTGGGAGGAAACTCTTTTAGTTTAACCAGAGGTCTTGATTTCAAATTTTGATAATGTAGTTTCGTTAAAATTAGTGTGAGAGAGTTTTGTCGTCCATTAAATCCTGTCCGACTCGAATTTAAATTAGTTGGTGACTCAATGAATTTTTGGATATCGGGTGATTCAAACAAAAAAATAAAAAATAAAAATATAATATGTAATTTAAATTATATTAAATTATACCATACTTATTAAAATAAAGGTGTATTGCCTAATACTGGTAATTGTCTCCTCAATCAAATATTGCAAAACAGTAAACTTTCCGAACTCTTATGTTAATAGAATTTTAACTTGGTTAAAAAAAAGGGCCCATATAGCATGTTTAAGTTCAAACTTTTTATTTCTTCGATACATTAGTTAATTTGGTGATGCACTCCTACACTCGCTTAAAAAAAAAAAAAATCTTGAAGTACTTGCAAATCAGTCCAATGGCATTCTTCTTGTGAAAAAAACATGGTACTAACCATTAAAAAAAAACAAACAAGACAAACAAACATAGTACTAGTAGTAGGACAACAAATGGAGGGCATTATTAGTTTTACACGTTCACATGGATGAGTAGCTCAAGACAATGGCCGGAAATAATTTATGGTAGTAATTGTAAAGAGATAAAACGACAGAGATTGAGTCCAAAAGAAAAAGGAAGAATAAAGCAAAGATATGAAAACATGCGAGTATGTAATCTCTCTATCTCTATTATTAATAGGTAATAGCAATGCCCCTGTCGTTGGACAGATAAGGTGTCCCTTTTGTCTCTCCTCCCATATCCCCACCCATATGCTACCCTATGCTCCTCCCCTATCCTCTCCTCAATTTCTTCCCTCTTTATATTCCTTCTGATCTCCTTTTCTTTTGAGACAACTGCACACAACATCGATCCATAACCTTAATTAACTCCGCCCCTTTTCTCCTTTACATCATCATTAAAATCATCAAATATTTTCTCTTGATCACGTTGTTCGCTTTATGGGGTCGAGGAGGATGAAGCAGCTGCGGTGGTGTCCGCAGCCCCTGACGCCACTGATGGAAGGACCGGACATAGAAATGCAAGAGGAAGGGAACAAGAAGGAGAGCTCCTGGGAAGTAATCCGTGAATGGTTCAGGGCACAAAAGGGTTTATCCTCAGGAGCTAATAATAATAACTTTTCAATGTCTTGGTATGGAAATGCACCCGCCAAGGGACAAGATTTAAGACTTCTGCTTGGTGTTCTCGGCTGCCCTCTAGCCCCGATCCCCTTTGTTCACGACCCAATTCATCGGATTCGCATCAAAGATCCTCTCGTAAGTTATTCCCTTCCTTAAACAAGCTTAATTTTTTTTTTTTTTGTTTTTTTGGAAAATTAAGGCTAATTAAGGTTTTTCATTTTAGGAAACTTCTACGGCACATTACATCATACAACAATATTTGGCGGCAACCGGATGTCTGAAACAGCAGAAATGTGCAAAAAACATGTACGCGGCAGGGGTGGTGAAGATGATCTGTTGTGAAACGGAGATTTCGTCGGGGAAAAACGTGAAGACTATAGGAACAAGGAGTGGAGAGAGCGGCTGTTTTGTTCTCTGGCAAATGTTACCATCAATGTGGTCACTCGAACTCGTTGTAGGCGGAAACAAGGTCCTCGCCGGCAGCGACGGAAAGACGGTTTGGCGTCACACGCCATGGCTCGGCACCACCGCGGCCAAAGGTCCTCAAAGACCTCTCCGCCGCATAATCCAGGTTAGGATTTGGACCATTTTACTTTACAAAATTAATGCCCAGGTACATTTTTTCCAAAAGAAAAAGGAAAAAAATTTTACCAAACATAAGTAGAGATGGTAGATGGATGAGCAAATTAAGACGAGAATCCCAAGAAAATAGAATGGAAACCAACTGAGGACGATAGAGAAACTGTCGGGTGCTTTAGCAGACACTAGTAAATTCCTTTTTTTTTTGAATAGTGTCTCTGAATTTTCTTTGTTTACATCATCTTTGGATCATCTTCATCCAATTATACTCTACTTCTTGGGATTGCCGCTTCCTCTTTTGCTTTTAACTTTTTCTTTTTGGCACTTTAGTGGCTTTTGATGGATTAATTTGCATTACACCCCCCTGCTTTTCTTGTCTTTCTCTCATTTCTACTTATTCTGTTCCCAAATCCCACTTCCTTTGTATTTGTCTTTTTCTCTCTTTCATTTTCGCATTTTTAGGGATTCTACAATTGGTCTTAGATCTTATTCTTTTAACATGGTTATGTTCTAAGAAAGTCTTAAATTCCGGCTTGAGTTAGAAGTACATATTTCCAATGTTTTGGATTTCGGTATTCCTAAAGTTATGTCCAAAGTAAATATACTTCAAATTCAGACAGCTAAGCTTTGTTGTAGTATGTGCTAAAGCAAACACTAAATGAAACTAAATAGAATGTTTGGTTTAAAGGAGGGAAGGAATGAGTTTTTTTTTTTTTAATTAATTAAATTATAATATTATTAAATATTATAATTTGATTTGTTAAAAAAATCCATTTTTTTTTATTCTTTTTAAACCAATCATATTGTAATAATTCTTACTTGATGGTTAAAAAAAAGTAATTAAAAGAATTAATAATTTTTTTATAGTAAAAGATTTTTTATTTGACTCACATGTTGTGTTAAATTTTATTATTTCACTAATTTCATTTAGAATGTGAGTTATCATGATAATTTGATTGTCCTATGTACTTAAAAGCAGAAAAAAAAAATCAAATTCAAATGTCTATTTGAATTATTACTTAAATAAAAATAACATATATGTTCTGCAGGGCCTAGACCCAAAGATCACAGCCAGCCTATTTGGAAAAGCCCAATGCTTAGGCGAGAAACGGATCGGCGACGACGAATGCTTCGTACTGAAAGTCTGTGCCGACCGGGCCGCCGTGATGGAGAGAAGCGAAGGCCCGGCGGAGATAATCCGTCACGTATTATACGGCTACTTCTGCCAGAAGAGCGGACTATTAATCTACGTCGAAGACTCCCACCTCACCAGAGTCCAAACCCCAGAAAACGACTCCATCTACTGGGAAACCACCATCGGAAGCAGCATCGGAGACTACAGGGACGTGGACGGAGTCCTGATTGCACATCAAGGGAGGTCCATAGCCACCGTGTTCCGGTTCGGAGAACTGTCGATGCAGCATAGCAGAACTAGGATGGAAGAAATGTGGAGGATCGACGATGTCGCTTTTAATGTGCAGGGACTCTCCATTGATTCCTTCATTCCGCCGGCAGATATCTTCAATAACGTTAACCTACATTCACCGTGATTTTATTTTGCTAACATCAAAATTGCCTAATTTAGTTCTGTTACAAATTGAATTGAATATATATTTGTGGGTTTGGTGGTGTAGTTTTTTTCTTCTTCTTTTGGTGTAGTATGTAGTTTATTTCTTGTTATATTAAGCTAAGAAATTGAAAATTTAAATTGGGGTGGAATAAGAGTTTTTTTTTGTTTTTTTTTTTTGCTTTAAATGGTATGAAAACTATTGGTGCATTCTCTATTTCAATACATCCATCTACACTCATGAGTTTATTTATTAAATTTTAGGCCAAACTCTCTTTTTACACTCTGTATGCTATTTTTTTACGGTCAACACCCTTTATAATTTTTATTTTTTATCAACATATTCTATAATTTAAAATTTGTAAAAAAACCCAAATTATCAATAAAATTAGAGTGCAAATAAGGGGTTTAATTGTTAATTTTTATGTTTTTACGAATTTTAAATTATGAAATGTATTGATCGATAGTTAAAATTCTTAAAGATATTGACTGTAGGGGAAAAATAATGTATAGGGTGTAAATAGAAGATTTAGCCTAAATTTTATAGTTAAAAGTTACCCCCTTGAATTTAAAGTTGAAAATAATAATTTTTTAATAAGTATATTCTGAAGTGTGTTAAATTAAAATATATACTAGTTGTTGTCCTAAATGGTGATATTATTGATTTTTTCTATTTTTGAACGGAGGGTGTTTTTAAGTTAATTTATAGATAGATCAAGATTAAAGGTGTGTTTGGGATTGTAGTTGAGAGCTTTTTCGTGTAGCCGTACAACGTTTTTAAATATATGTGTGTTAGGTCTTTTTTTTTCATACTGTTTTTTTTTTAAAAAAAAATTGTAGAAAGCCACAAAAAATTTACAGTAATTTTATATATAAAACCAAAAATCTCATTTTGGAGCTTTTTGATTATTCCTTTTACGAAAAACACCTGACATTTAATATAATTGTAAAATTACCTATTAAAACCCAATTTCGTATAATTTTACATATTTTTTATATTTTAATTAATGATTAATAAAATTTATCATATTTCATCCATAATACTTTTAAAAAATAAATAACCAAACATGAGAATAACTTTCAATCATAACTATAGTACAACACAGTATAATTTAGTACAGTCATAGCACTTCACAGCAATCTTAAATGCATCCTAAGTCATTCTTAAGTGATGTTAGAAGCACATGATACATTTAAGAAATTAAATGTTCTTATGTGTTAGAGTCGATTTCTCAATAATGTATATAGCAAACAAGAAATGATGAATGATTTTGCAATTGCTAACTGAAAAAATGTGCATTGAATGATGAAAGCATGAATTACCAACTTAATTTGATTTCGAAAAGAGTGCTATGTATTTCAGTAGATTGCACAATTTAAACAATAAGATAGGGTCTGTTTTTCAATACATGCTTAAAAGAATGGGGTTTGGTGACAAGTGGGGAAACTGGATCATGGAATGTCTATCCACCAATACTGTCTCCTTTCTTATTAATGGTTCTGCCACACAACAAATTTCAGTTAGCAAGGGTCTTCGCCAATGCGATCCTTTATCTCCATTTTTATTCCTCATAGCAACTGAAGGGTTGAATGAGCTTATTGGTACAGTTGTTAGCCGAGAATTGCTAAAGGGAATCGAAGTCGGGACGCAAGGATTCAAGGTCACTCACCTACAGTTTGCAGACGACACATTGATCTGCGGGAAGGCTGCTGAAGATAACCTTTGGGCAGTAAAGTGCATTTTAAGGACCTTCAAAATTGTCTCTGGATTGAAGATCAACTACAGAAAAAGCCAGCTTATGGGGATTCATACAAACACTAATTGGCTAAATAAAATGGGATTCCTTCTCAATTGTCAACTAGGATTTATGCCTTTCAAATACCTAGGAATAAAGGTGGGAGGTAATCTGAGACGA